TTGGATTATTGCAAGATCAATATCCACTGTACTGACTGCAGTGATTTTACTCCTCCCTTTCAGATACCTCTTTATCTTTATTAGAACTCATTGAAAAATGGTGGCAATTTTTTAACTAAAATTTCAAAAGTTTCTCTTCCTTGTCATCAACTAGAAAAGCAATTATACGCTAGAATGTGGCATGGGACTATTTGTCAATAGAGTACCTATTGTTTGAGTTCTGATTCCAGTTTGAGGTCTCTAGATTTTATCCCCGTGCAGTTCTTACATGGAATATCAGATAAGACAATCAAAACAGCCTCACTGACCTTAAAATCACAGGAATCTAGGAAATAATATTCAGGAAGAGCCTGAAGCCATTGAATCAAAGAATCCAAAGCTCATCAAAAAGATAAGAAATCTGTGGCTTATTACTGATTCAGATCAGATAATATTGTTTCAGAGCCATTTCCCCAACAGGTTAACAGTGAAATTAAAATACTATAAAGACGCTATTCACAAGGGTTTGATCCAGCTCTTGCAGAAATCAAAGCATTTTTCTTGTTTTCAGTACCAGGGACATCAGGCTCAGAAGAGCCATCATCTCACAGGCTGAGCCAAAACTAATGCCCAGAAGAGAGCAGCTGCCAATCACAGCAATGAATCCATCTTCCAGGGACCCACAAAAGCCGGAATTCATACTGCTATCCCTGCTCTAGGGATAAATTTATCCTGCTATCTTCTGGTTGCAGCTTTGCAGCCCCTTGTTTGACATGTTTTCTCTATATTCCTTTGTCGTGCACTGACAAACTCATATGGTGGCTATTACTGGTTTTATTCTAACTATTTCCAATTGGTAAGATTTGATAGTGGGAAAATGAACACGGACATGAATCTGCTCTCCCTTACTCTCGGCAGGCAGCAGAGGGAGCTGCAGGAGCAAAAATATCAGTTGCTTTCTGCATCCTTTCCTAAGTATCAAAGGTCTTTCGCAAAATCCAGGCTCATTTTCAAGGTCCAGGTTACTTAGCCCAGTAGCTTTTGTGCAAACTCCTGCTACAAGACACCACTCTCAGATACTTGTTTTTCAAGTGCTGTTTTCAGTATGTGATGACATTATCACTGATTCATACAGTGATTCCACACACTAAACCCCTTGAGAGGTGAGTGTGAAGAGAAGGCCCATGTCATCTAAGTGGACAATGTAAAAAAAGTGCAGTACTGATTGGCATTTTGCAAAACTTTTGCAGATGCATTTGATTTTACAGTGCTTTGTCTCATTAGAAGTGCAGACCTTTCGTATCCCACAGCTTGACCAAATTTGTATAACAAATAATGAAAGATAAAAGCTTCTTGGAGACTTAATCTCAGCTGCCATCCTTACAGGCTATGACACATGCTTGGCTGTAGAAAATAGGAGTTTTAGTCAACTTGCCTTGTTACCTGCACTCACACAGTAACTTGCTGAGTGGCAAGAAGCAATTTCCAAATAACACCAAACTAGTGCCAAGATAACTGGTTTTCAACAGAGGAGCACTGACATAATTCAAAACCTGAAGTGATCCAGTCCTAATCCTGGTCATTTCCCAAGCTTTTTATTAAGCATAAGAGAAGAGTTTTCTGAGCTGCGAATGCTGCTAATACTCAGCTCAGCAAATACACCAACAGTCCAGATATAATAAGCATCTCTGGCTCACATGCTTTTCTTCTCTGCAGCGTGGAAGTTCAGTATGCAAAGCTTAGTAAAAACATACAATTCTGTTTTAATTCTGGCTAACCCTCCTCCCAAAGAAGCATTATCTTTTTCCTGAATGTTAATTAAAAGTAAATTCCATCACTATTCCACCTCCCTTCAGAAGCCTGCACAGCTGGACATAAGGCAGTTATGCCTAACTAGCAATTATATGCTTTACCCACTGAAGCTCATGGTGTTCAGTTACATCAGTTCACACCTGCAAAAGAACTAATTTTGTGACCGTTTTTTGAACAAGTCATATATATTCCATCTGATATGGACTCATATTAGTACAATACTACTAAAATACATGTGCTGCTGTGGTCCCAAGAGGGTATGGTAGGAAACAAGATAAAATAATATCTGACATTACCTTATTCCTGATTTTGATGCGCTGGTAAAGATACTCAGGGAAAGGTTTGCGAGGGATGAAGCGGCCCATTCCCTTATTTACGTGCAGATTTCCATCTTCATACACAATCTTCCCTTGGCTTATGACCACAAGAGGGGCACCATGGCACTCCATTCCTTCAAAGATGTTGTACTCAACAGCCTGAGGATCAACCAACATATTCACTGCAAGTTCAGTACATCTCTTTAATTAGTAACATATAACCCGTACTTGTAGTCACGATTTTAGACAACTGCTATTAAGCTGTGTATAAAATTGCTGTGTCTGAAGGAAAAACAGTGCATTTAGATATGAAACTATTCTAAACAATCTCTCTGATCAGACTTCCCTAGATCAGGCTTTTCATTTCCCACTTTCTACCGAGGCTTTATCTCATTTGTTTTTAAGGACTTTCCATATTTATCCAGAGCCTTTAGAAGTACAATAGCCTTAATAAGAGGAAAATTGTGACTCAGCTGCCGGATACCCAGAGGACATGGTCCCACCAGGCATCTGCCGTGACTGTGTAAGGGAATTTCAAGGGGCCAGCACACATATTTCTGCCTGAAAAAGTCCAGAAAGGACCAGAAAAGCCTGAATCTAAATGGGAATGACTGTCAAAGAGCAGGTAATTATTACTTTCATGAAAATACAGCAAGATCCCAAGACAGAGAAATAGAAATTGAATCACCTGAACTTAACCTTTTAAAGGTTTCTAGAGGTTTTTGCCTTTTTAATATAAAGCACATTACTGGCTTTCCAGTAAAACTTTTAGCAGAATTCCCCAATATAAAATACCAAAGGCACTGCACAGTAAGATAACAACTTTGAGATAGGCAACGCATAAGATACAACCTGTCGCAGTTAAAATTGAAGCAGCTATGAGTCACTGGTCTCTGCACTAAGGGTAGAGAAGTATGCAGCAAAGCTTGGGAATTAAATAGAAAATCCCAGCCCTAAGGCTGATCAGAGCTGTATTAACAAAATATTTAATCATCTCTCATAGTTTGTAATATCATTGATTTAATCATGCAATTTACAATATCAGGTTCTTTTTCAGGTAAGCAAAAAAGATGTGCGGTGGTTTGAAATGGATCATCACAGCTTTACTAACCTCAGCTGCAGAGCAGCTGATTCACACCTAGTTTCAAGCCACAAACATGCAAAACACATTGCAATGCCATGTGCACAAAAAAGGAAATCCTTCCTGATCCCAGTGCTTCCATTGCAAGAATTCAATACTTTAATTTACTGAAATATTTACAGATTCCAGAACAGGAGCAGGTAGTTACCTCACTCCTCTATATCCCATGCATTTGGTGTTCACCTAAGTTAGATCGACAGCTGAAAAGCAACAGTGACATTTCTTTTTTCTGCTAGTTTTCCCTTCCTCCTTACCGATTTATGGCTTTTAGCTGTTATAGTCTTCACCTTATCAGGGTCCCAAATAACAACATCAGCATCCGATCCGACAGCAATCCGGCCTTTTCTTGGGTACAGATTAAAGATTTTGGCAGCATTGGTGCTGGTGACAGCTACAAACTGACTCTCGTCCATCTTGCCTGTGGCCTAAAAAGAATGTGATTTGAGCAAAACACACTTAACTACTCAAGAGTCCTGGATAGTCAGGTAGATACTGGAAAGCATGCAGTTCACATATATGATGATGCCACATGAAACAGATTTTATCAAGCAGGACTTTATGAAAGGCACATTACTTGAGAGTTTGTCCTGGGTTCAAATAAATAATTAAAATAAATGAATGTGTTACTCTTGGCATCCCAAAGAACAGCCAATAAAACCTTAAAGCAGATGATACCACCAAGTTGCTCAGGTAGCTAAGGTCCTTTTCTCTACACACTGATGCCGAAGCATGTTTTGTTGCTAGTCCTAGTATTTTACATTTAAGTGTTTTAATCATTTTAAAACAGAGAAACATATATGGAGATTACTAGATTAAATAAAAGATCAAGATTCAGGTTCTTTTAGAAATATTTCTTGCAAATTAAGTCCATTCTTACTATTATTATTACCAAACCTATACATCTAAGTAATACAACCCAGGCCTTGCCTGGAGAAATGTCACCAACTATTGAACTTCTTATATAGTCAGTGATGGCTTAATAGCAGCTGTACACAACAGCATTTTGATTTTCTCAGTATTGGGGTGTCTTCCCTGGCAATAAGCAAGAACAAAGAATAACAGTGCCAAACTTTTCAATATTAAACAAAGGCTTCTGGTAGAACATCAGATCTGCAAAATACAAGCTGCTCTGTGGTGCAGGACTGAATGTTACACCTGTAAACCACATGCAGAAGCCCTCTCTACACCTCCTTCCCCTTGTGGGAGTAACAAAGGAGAAATATCAATGGCTGGCTGCACTTTGCTTGTTTCTCTGCTTTGCTCCTCTTTCTGAAGCTGCTTCTGTGCTTGGAATCTCAATAGCTGAAGAAAGTGGTTATTAAACACAGTTTGGGAGAAGTGCTCATGACAGCATTGTAAACACCACCACTGCCCAGTTTGCAATACGCATTAGGGTGCAATGCAATGTAAGGTAATGAGTGCATGTGTACGTGTGAGTGTGTGCGCATGGGTGTGTAAGTGAAGACAGACAAAGGAGGGAGAACATCATTAGATATTAGGATCCATGGAACCATCAAAAAATTGCTAACTTATACCAGCACCTCACTGCATAATATGCCAGCATGAATTACACGCAATGTTCCCCTTCAAAGCACTTTACTGTCTAGCCTCGGGCTCGGCTGCCATCCATTTGTAATTTCTTAAAAATGATGAGACACTTCCCGAATTCAAACAATCCATTCATCACATTTATATAGGGTTCACTTGAAAGTCATTAAACTGCTCCAGATCCAACATCTCTGAGAAGCATCCACTCTGACACAGCCAGAAAATGCAGCCGTGGAGTCTGTGAAGCCTCAGGTCTAATAAAGCATGATGGTGTTGCAGTGTCAGAAGTGAAACACAGCCTTGAGTTTATAAAACTGGAGAAGGTTTTGAAATAAGCAATTCACCTTGTAGTAGCGCTCTCTCAGGGAATTCTCAGAAACATATTAGAAAGTCACTTAAGTACTGACCAAGAGTCTCCTGGCTTTCATTATTCAGCCAACACTCAATTTCTTTTTCAGTCCATAAAAGTAAGCAATTACTTACTACAGCTTTGTCCCAGACAACAGTCATTCTCTCCTCGATTCCATTGACCCCTTCAGGAATCATAGTGAAGTTGTCCTTTCCAATGGCTTTCTGGGCAGTGCTATATGGGCAATGTCCACTTCCCGTCACCTGCAGGTCTCCACTGTGGAGTTAACACACAGAAGTTTAACCCAGGCCTCAGCAAGGTTAACTCGGTCTCAGACTAGCTGTGAATGGACCTTTCAAGCCACCACACCAGAGGCATATGCTGTAAATCGTGTCAGCAGCCTTTACATGTTGGCTACAGAAAACTGAACAGTGACAATGGCATTGAACATCTCCACTTTCCCCTAGGAGCATCCTGAACTACCAGATTACAGCTCCCTCTGGTTTCAGGCTGCTTATCGACAGAGATCAGGAACAAGCCCACTAACCAGGACAGTGGATTACTCTAGGATTAAGAAGAAGATGATCAGAAGCTTGTATGAAATGCCTGCCACTCTCAAGATAAATTAATTCACAACCATGTTGAAAAAATAATGGCAAATTTTACACTGCAAAGTCATAAGCACCAAGCTTGTTTCCCTGAATTTCTCCTTTTGCAATTCTTACGTATTTCTTGTCTGACCTTCCAAACCAGAACCTTGAAGGTGTTTTATCAGGTAGTCTTCTACTTAAACAAAGCAAGGCATGACATGTGCAAGTCAAGCATATGCTCTGCATGTATCTAATTTAAAGGTCTTACACAGAAAAAGGCATGGACTAAAACACAAAAAGAACTACCAAATAATAATGGTTTTATTTAAGAAGTAATTTTTTTTCAGCCTGGAGAAAATTTTTTTTCAGAGAGCAGAACTGGATCACAGCTGCTCCCAGGAACAAGGAGGAAGAAAATAACCAATACACAGAACCTTGCAAAAACAGAAAGACAAAAAAGCAGATAGGTTCTCCAATACCCACAGGAAACGGATGATAATTTTAGGTCTTGATCAAGCTTACAGGAGTCAAGCACATTAAAACACACAATGATTTCTCTTCCATCAATCCAGAACGTGATGTCCCCAAGAGCCTGTCATCCTTTTCTTTAACTGATTATGTAAGTCCCAGCTCTGAAGCATCTGAATGACTCTGGTCCGCACATTTAGATTCCAGCAAGCTAACAAATAGCTAAGTACAGAGGAAAAAAAGGGTCACACATCAGCAATTCTAATGCAATTTTCAGGGCTGCCAGCCCTAATGATTGCTGACAGTCAGAGAAAAACCTTTGGCCTCTTTTCTGGTTCTTCACCATGCTCACATCCATCCATCCAGTTTTTAGCAGAAGCCGAGCCCGTGTATTTAGCAGTGAAAAGACAGATATGTTTTAGCTATTCCTGATTATTAATGACTGTCTGGTGGTACTCCACAGGATTAAACCAAATCCATCAGTTAAACATCCATTTATTCTAACACAACAATCAAGGCAGAAGATTGCAATTCTATTTCTTCCTTTTTGTTGCTCTTCTGCCAGCCAAGCTTCTATGGCTTACTCTCTTCCTCTCTTCTGCACTTGGATGAATGCAGCCATGAATGTCACAGCCAGGCCCTGCATCCTTTCCCTGAGGTTATGTCACACTTCTTACACCATACTATTAATTCCTACACTTGAAAGATAAAAAGAAGTTGATACTTCTGAACTCCGCTTTCCCTCTCCTCTGACATTTAATGACATGCACTGCACTTCCCAGTCTAATCAATAGAAGGCTTCTGAAGCTGAAGAATGTCACTGGAGAGCTGCTCAGCACCTCCTGGTTAACCATGTGGGCACTCCTGCTGTCTAGATACACTCTACTGTCAAATGGGCGGTGAGCATCAGATCAACTGGAAAACTGAGAAACAAGAAGGGGATCACCACAGAAAACATCTCCAAAAGACAAGAGTGTTGGGAATTAACAGCAGACATAGGTCTATCTTTAAATGCCACATCAATATCCCATCATCTTACTCTTCACCATAAACAAAGCTTTCATGGTAGGTTACGCCTTTCATGAAGCACCAAGATCTCACATTTCTAGTTCAGACGAGATGACATATCACAGCAGCACAGCATAGAAGATGAAAGGTACCTCAGGTACATGGCCCACTGTCTTGGTTTCAGCTCAGAGTTAATTTTCTTCCTAGTAGCTGGTGCAGTGCTGGGTTTTGGCTTCAGTTTGGGAACAATGCTGATAACACACTGATGTTTTAGTTGTTGCTGAGCAGAGCTTACCCTGATCAAGGACTTTTCAGTCTCATGCTCTGCCATTGAGATAGGGGCACAAGAAGCCAGGTAGGGAGAAGAGACAGGACACTGACTCAAACTAGCCAAATGGGTAATTCCATACCACAGCACATCATGCCCAGTGTATAAACTGGAGGGAATTGGCTGGAAGTGATCGATTACTGCTTGGGTTGGGCTGGGTATGGGTCAACGGGTGGTGAGCAACTGTGTTGTGCAACTCCTGGGTTTCTTGGGGTTTATTCCTCTCTCTCTTTTTGTTAGTCCCCTTTTCATTACTGCTAATACTACTAGTATTATTGTTGTTATTATTATTATTAATATCATTATATTTTTCCCTATTTCAATTATTGAAGTTTTCTTATCTTAACCTACAGGTTTGACCTTCTTCCAGCTCTCCTCCCCATCCCACCAGCATCACGGGGGTGAGCAAGCAGCTCTGTGGTACTTAGTTGCCGGATGAGGTTAAACCATGATACCCACAGATGAAACACAGACCAAATCTCATGAGGCAAATCCAGTCTGCCAACCAACCCCATGAGACATGCTGGATCTTTACACATTCAGCTGTTAAGTGGAAAATCAACGCTTTCTGTGAAAAAAGCACAAACACTAGGCTACAGACTTGCAGAGGAAGAATGTTGTAAGGGTCTTTTAATGAATGTAAAATACTTGTCTCCTAATGAACAGTGCAACAGAAAAATGAAATACTGTCTTTACCATCTTCCTTGCATAAAATTCCCCACAAATGCAGAGCAGACTGATAAAATACACAGTTCTTTTTTTAGTTTCACTGTATAGATTTAAAGTATTAAAACTGAAAGCAGGCTAAGCCGCTGTCATTTAAGATCTAGGACTTAAAGCCACTAGACAAAAAAGTCATTTTTGCATGCTTGGAGGATAATGAAAACTTCTGTGACCCCTCAGTTTGTCTTTCTGATGTTAATTTTTTAAAAGTCGTTATTTGGATTGCAGTTCTAAAAATTCCCTTGCTATTTTAGCTAATCTGTTTTGACCCACATACTATTATTTTGGGACTCTCTTCTCGAAAACGCATAGTCTGAGAGTACAGAGCCAAACATTTTGATACATGTTCACATGTGCTGGCTAAGAGCCTTACCCTTACACAATGAGCTTCACTCCTGACAGTACTGACAGTGATGGATCAGACCAGATAAGCAATTTTTCTTCCTTGTCCTTATTTTAAGGAACAGAAAGATTAATTATGGAAAATCAATTCTGCCATCAGACTGTCACAACAGAACAAATTCCTGCATATTCTTACCAGAATCACACGTTAGCTCAGAGCTCAGCTGTGCTTTCATTAGCAGTGTTGTCCATGCAGCATCTTTGGGGCAGCTGAGTTAAAACCTGGGTTTGGTGGCCTCCACCTCCTGGCACACCATGTGCAAGGAGAGATGTGTGGCACTGACTGATGGCAGCTTCCCATCACACATATGTGCCCACGCAAGCAGGGTCCTTACGCTACCAGCCACGCTGGCACTGCCAGCCATACAGCTTGCCAGTCAGTCATGTGCAAAACTAACACGGGAGGAAATGTTTTCTGAAGACTAACAGGTCACTTAGATTCTACTTCTCTGTCTTAGAGCAGTGGAAACCCTAGAAAGGGGAGCCAGCAGGTGAGATGAGTGCCACTATATGGTGTTAAATAAAGTTTTGAGTGCTAAGTTTAGTTCCTTACTCCAGCACTAGTATTCTGTCCTGGTGGGACTTCAGCTGTGAATTTCCATATCATTTCAAAGCCTATGGTCTTTTGCTTAAGCTAAAGAAGATCCACAGCTGGCCACAGGCAGGAAATACTTCCAGGGATGGGTTTATGGTCTGGACTGCTGGCAAGGTGTTGCTGATGTCTTCTTTTCAATATGAGAACAACACTTCTCCCTCTGCTGTCCACATTCTTTTCATCTCTAGTGACAACCCTAAACATAGGCTATAACCATCCCTGGTTTTCTACATCCTTTCTCTGCTGTTTTGTGTATGAGACTGTCTGAAGGAAACCAAGCCGATCCCTAGATGCTTCATCCCACGTGGCTTTTGCACTTGCCTGTCCATCAGCCTGTAAAAAAAAAGGTCTTACCATGCTAAGAGTGAATTTAAATGATCTGGAGTAGTAGGATCAGGGCTCAGAGGTGGTGAGGTCACGAAAGCTGCAGCCTTGGCCCAGTTTTTGCTCCAGTAATGTGTCCCATCTGTCCCCAAGCTGGCAGTGATCGGCTCTCCAAAAACAAGGGGACCTTGGGGAAAGCAAGGATATACAGAAACTGATTTCAATCCACTCTCTCTTCACCACATTACACCGCTTGCTGCCTGCAGCCATGTATAATTTAAACATTGCTACACAGCCAGTGTAGCTCCCAGAAAATTAAGCAGCCCTGGCTTTGTCTGTATGATAAAATATTAATCAGGAGTCTCTCTGAGCTACACATGCTTTTCATCAGCATATTTACAAAGCTCCCTTTCTAATCCAGAAGGAGACCGTTCAGATCTGGTTTTAATTTGTACTGTTTTAATCACAGCCATGTTCTCTCTGTTGTTCTGATTCAGAGCGCATTTAGGTGGAGGATGGGCTCCAGCAGACAGATGCCTTTTTACTAGTCCCAGGTTGGGCACAGCACCAGCAGATAGCAGCATATGGTCCCAGCACCATACTCCAAGTCTCCAAGAATACAAATTTCATTATGATATTTTGGTCTTTGGCTTTTCCATATTGTTCACACGCTGTGTAGCACCAAGCAGCACAACAGACCTGACTCGCAAATGCAGCTTCCACAGCGCCTGCCTCCAGGCTCACAAGTCCCTTTTGGGTGTTTTGTAACCTGGGTCCCTCCCTGCCCCAGCAAGCAGTGTCGACCCTTGGCGCACATCTGATGGGGTCAGCCTCCAGCAGCAAGGCCAGGAGTGAGCACCAGGCATCTCTATCAGCAGGCTCACTGCTCAAGCCACCCCTCAGAGGGTAACACCCTGAAATACTGCCAGAAGGCACAGAGGATGTGCTAGACTCTGTTAGGAATAAAGTATCTCCCATGAACAGAGATACAGCAGTCTAAGGGAAAAATAAAAGGGAAAAGAAGGATAAAGAAGAGTTACAACACAATTTCAAGGGAACAGTTTGGGGGGAGAGTTTGCCAACTGAAAAAATGTAGGATTTCCCTTCATCTTCCCCACTTGTAAATATTTAGGGTCTGTGATGGTGTTACCATTCTTTGGTAACCTCTCTCTCTAGCTTGTGATTTGGGTCAAGATGTACAGGTTTTTCCACTGAGCTTCTATTCAACAACAACAACAACAACAAGTTCTGGGAGAAAATAAAGTCCCTCACCTTTCTTTCTGGCCAATGCAATGATATCAGCTGCACTCTTGCTCATCACCTTGGTGATGTACACTGGGCAGTTTATTCGGCTGGCAATGGTGATGGCACGGAAAACTGCTTCTGCTTCAAGCTGGGGAAAGCAAGGAGGAAAAAGTTAACTGCAAAAGCAGACTGCAGACAAAACGAACTGGAGCACTGAGCCATACTGCTTACTGTTTAGCAACAACTCGTCAGAGGTCAATTCTGCTTTTTCCATAGAATGGGATGCAGTGCTGGGAAACAGGGAGCTAATCCAAACTTCAGACACTTTACAAGAGGAGTAACCACAGCCAGGCTGCACTCACTAACAGGCTACAGCTGCCTGGTACAAATACAGCTCCCTGGCTCCCTGCACGCCAGTAATGGTCACATCCAAGCAGCTGATGGGGCTCCTCCTTATCTCCCTCCCACCTTTCTGCTTCAGACTTCCACCCTGCAGTTGGAAGGAGAATGAAGCAAGGAAACATTGACCCAGCTTGGAGACAACCTCTAAACAATGTTTGGCAGCTTACCCTACACAATCTTTACATGAGGGTAAAATGACAGTGAATGTAAAGTAGTCTCAATCAACAACTTCAGCACTATGGACTGAATTTAGCCCATAATCCATAGAAGCCTTTGAAGCACTGCCCAGTAAGTCCCCTCTGTCAGGAAGCATAAAGGCAATCTCCTCCCAGGGACCTACCTAGGACATAAGCATACAAAGTAGTCATCTTCATACAGACAAGCAGTGTTTCCTGGCAGCTCTGGAGACTCCTTTCCCCAGTCATCAGTTTTATGCCTCCCTCCCAGATGCACTCACAGTATCAGTGTTTTAATACCTAAAATTGTGTTGTCACTGAAAATACTGACTCCACAGCACAGTAATTTCTCTAAAGTGTTGTGCTAGCAAAGTTGAGAATTAGCCCTTATGGTGGCTTAATTCTTCACAGTTTTGTAATAGTTTTTCTTAAATCAGACTGTCACTTCAGATTGTCTGAGGACTTTTACCACAACGTTTGCAGTGGAAGCCCTAGGGAAGCCCCAGGGACCTCTGTACCTCAGAGGTGGTGGTCAGATACATGGTCAGAAAGATGCAAAATTCCTTTCTGGTAACTGCAAATGCAGATTTTCTTTAGTCTCTTGTTCTTATTAAAAGGAAGTAACTCCATTCTTTTAGAATAATTTAAGTGGAAGTTAAACAACAAAATGAAAAGTACATAAATAGTTCAATAGAAGAATGCAACCAATTAAGCTGATTCCTTTTGCCTTGGGGAGAGGTTATATAAAGATCTGCAAACCACCACAATCTCTTCAAATTTAGCCTCAAATCCCCAGGACCTTGTCTCTTTAGTCTTCAAGGAAAGCAGTCACTTCCCACTACTGCCCTTCGTCATCCCATTAATGGTCTGAAGTGTGTACATTAAGGGACATCCACATGGCTCCACCTTTTCCTTCTCATTAAAGAAACCCTTTCCAGATGCCTGAGATGATCCATGCCAGAGCTTGGTTTTTATTACAAGAGAGTTGCATAAATCGAGCTGCCTTGCAGCATCTTTCCATGCTCACATATTTGCATTTCTACAGCCTGCACTTCTACTACTAATATATCTGCCAGCATAAGCGTATTTATATGTGGGTGTATTTATATGCATAGTATAGATGTACACATACATCTTGTAGGAGGTTTTCAGCTACAGCAGTATAATGAATGCAGTTATTCCAAAGCCTAACCCACAAGCTGCACTGCCGTTTTTGACCCCGATAAGCCCATTTTTTTTGTCATCACAAGGCTCACAGTAAAAAACCACACACCCATGCTTGGGGCAGCAGGAGCTGAGGGTACAAGGACAAGCTCATCCCTGGACTGAGGGAACGCACCTGCTGCAGCAGTGCAAGGGCATTTTGGGTGGGCAAACAAACAAGCTGAAGGGGTCCTGGAATTTTCAAGGCTTTGAAAAATACTGGAAGAGGCTGTGGGAGAAGGAGGCCGCTGCCTTCCTCCAAGCACACATCTATCATGTGCACACACAGAAGCCAAGCTCCAATACTACATGCTCAACAAAATACTTCCATGAATGACAAAATGAGTGAAGTCTCCTACCTCCTCAGGCCTGCTCAGGGCATGTCCCTCAGGTCCAGTGATTCCCATCTCCAGGATACGCTTTTGTTCCTGCAACACAAGAGATAAATGCTGACAACTGCTCCAGAATGAGACCCTTGCACCAGGCATCCTCTGACGGATTAACAGCCTTGTCATCTGACTGCCCCTTTCTTGTCTGTGTAAATGCAGCTGCATAAATGTGCTGCTGGGGGAGCAGGACTGACAACACTGGCTCTAAACTTGCCCCATGCCACCCCGGTGACTGCTCTGCACAGTCAGCACAGATTTCAGGGACAGATTTGTCTCTGCAGCACCACAGAATGTACCTATGCCTCGAGTCACCACTGGGCTGCACCATCAAAAATCTCTACCCTCCAGAAAATCTTGACACCGAGACACCAACCCAGGCAACAGGCTTCAATCAATCAATCCACTGAGCAGTTGTTAGGGATATTTCCAGCCTGCAATTCTTTCTTTACTTGCACAAGTTCTTCTCTGGATGCAATCCCTGTAGCACCATTACCTTCCTTAAACTTTGAACATTGCTGACACTTCATCAAATAAAGTCTTGCCTTTGGAACCCAGTTCTCTGTAAAACCTTTTTCCTACAAAATGAATCACTAAAATTGTTTTCAAGAAAGCAAACCAGTGCCCTCTAGCTGTGAGGGCACTGTCTCCACACCAAAAAGCCCATTTTAGGATCAATGAGGGATTGTCAGAAATAAAATCTGTGCTATCCAGCTTCACAGTAGTCAGCTATTATTTTTTGTAATAGATAAAAAGCTTCAGCTATGTTTTAATTTAAGGTCAAGCAGTGGTATTAGAATAATTTTCTCTTTTGCAGAAAATGGTGATCAACCACTTCTGATCTGAGGTTGGTCCAGGTCTGCCAGCAGAGCAGAAGTGGGACCAGAGCTGTTGATGTACCTCCAACCCTGGCCTGCCCTGCCCACAGGTCTCTAATGAGCTGAGTTCAACAAATGTAATGACTCTCTGATACAGACAAATGTCCCCTGGAGACCAGGATGAAGTTACCGAACATACTTTACTGTGTCATCTAATAAATATTTGATCCCAAGTCCCTGAGGTTAAAAAGCTCACACATTACCAACACGCTCCAGCAAAACCTCAGCAAGTTGATATTCACATATACTTTTGCCTTTGTTGCAATCAATCAAGGCTGAAGAGGCATTAATAGGAATGTATTAATCTGACTGTGTAATTAAGAATATTTTGGTTAGAAAATCGCAATGTCTCACAGGTATTCTTAAAAATAGCTGTTCTAAACCATTAATGCAACAGCTCTAAACAGTGCCAGTTAAAGACTTCAGATAATTAAAATAAAACAAACAATTAAGTTACAATTATATTAAAGGAAAAAAAATTGCAAGAGGGCAAAGAATGGCTACACAAAGCAGGATAGATTTGCATCTTGAAGGAAGTCATTAAATCAGATCATATGATAAAATTACTCACTGTAAGAGGATTTGGTAGTGCTAATAAGCTAGAATATTTGCTCAATAAGATCAAATCTGTATCTTCACACAGGATAGTCCTGAAAAACCTCACTGCAGGCAGCTTTCTTTTCACTATCCAAACAATCCTTCTATATAGAAGCATAAGGAAAGACTGATTTTATGAGTCATGGCAATATAATTTACATTTCTTTACTAGTTCCTCTTTTATTAATAACTTTTCTGTCCTGTATGTTCATATTCCATGGCTGTACATTAAAGCTGATCAAAGAAAAATGTAACTGAAACAGATTTCTATCAGAAAAGCAGTTCCATGAGTACTCCTTGATTTTAATGGGGAATGTATCAAAACATCACAGGTGCCATCTGATTTATTTTCCTACTCCTACAGTAATACTGACTTACTATATTTCTTAGAATTCAATTTCATTCTACTGGATATTCTACGTTGTATTAAAACTATAGATTATGTATTTTGGTAGTTTTAAATCATGCTAAACTTCATGGCACATCACCTTTTTTCCCCCCTCTTGAATACAAATGAGGCTTTTTCACCTCATTTCAGTGGGGGAAGGACACAACTGCACCACGTGTTCTGCTGACTCCTCACTAGCAACTTTTGAGCCCAGTGGTTATTTTGGCCAAGCTCCAAGGGAAAAGGGAAAGATGGCTCTCAAAAGGGGTAAATTCTTACCAGGCAGTTAAAGGACAGAACCCCACAGATGGACAAATAACAAGATAAACCAGTGTTGGCAAGAGCCCTTACACACTGCCCAACCACTCAAGCACTCACTTGAGGTTCTCCCTTAACCATGAGATAAGGTGGTTTCCCAAGTCCTGATCTCAAAGACAACTTGGTTTTAGCCATTGTGATTTCCCTGTCAGCTCCGCAGCCAAGTCCTTAGCGGATGAGCAGCAGATAAAGAGCTCAGCAGATAAAACACTCGGCGCCTCACAGACCTCCGAGGGGCTCGATGCACGTACAGGGGATCAGAGGAGGGAGACACCGCTGCAACAGCTTTAAAAGATTCATCTGCCACAGATGAATAAAGTCATAGTGACACCCACCCAAGCCCACTCATACTGTTTTATGGGAGAATCCTGGCCTCTGAAAGACCAGCGGGAGGTTTACTATCAACTGCTGTCCTTGGGATATCTCTTCCCAAGCACAGATCAGAGCTATGACACACTCCAGTGTGAGGACAGTACCTACGCGAGGAACCTGACCTGCAAAGACTGCACGGGGCATCCAGGACATTTTAATGGAACACACTGAATGTGACCCCAGTTTCCTGGTTCTGAGAGACATCTTTGAAGAGCATGACTTACACTTTAACACGTTTTTTCAATGTTTAGAGGATCATGCTGGTTTCTTATTCTCAAACTTCAGAGATTTGTAAGAATATTCTCAAAAATAAATAAGCCTGAGAGGCTTACCACCCACTCTAACCTCACTATGCTGCTTGTGCTGATAGCTGCAGCAAGAGACATTAATAAAGCTTCTCAGTGACACTTTTTGTCCCCAAAATCTCTGAGCAAGGATTTACATCGTTCTGGCCCACTTGTTCCTGCTGGATTCAGAAGAGATTGCTGTCTGGATCGCTGCTCTACCTCATGGATGCTCTGTGCCAAAGCATGCAAAAGTGCCTCCATCCTCTAATCCCAGGCTGTACATCAGCAGTGTGTAGGGCACCAGGCTCAATAAAGACACTTACCAAGTAGTTCCTTTCTTTCTACCCATACTCTGACTGAAGAGTTTTACTTCTCCTCTCGTGTGTATCTCCTCACAAAGTGAAGCAAATGTGACAGTTCACTCACCTGAGCTATCAAGTCTCCATTTTCAGCATGGACCAGGATAACAGCCCCAAGACTTTTTAGAAAGGTAAAGGCTTCATAAAGCTGCAGGTAGTACAAAGAAGGAAACACTGCTGAATAAGGAAAACACATTACTTAACACTCAGACTTCTCTGTTCACTGCAGCTTTGCACCTTCTATGCTGGTAATTACGTAGGTGAATAGCAAATTATCTCCCTTTTCCACTCTCCACTTCTGCACAGTGAGCTTCACTGCTTGGTGTTGGCTTACCCATCCCCTTACACACCAGTCAGCCCCAGCATGAGCTTCTGCCCTTCTGCACCAACACAGGGTGGAAAGTCCCAAGCAGGGTTGCATCTCTCTCAGCCACAGTGCCTCCTCCAGCACCCTGTACTGCAGGGCTGCCTCTTCACACCCTTCAACACAGGCCTAAGTTTAGCAAGTAGTCTCTTTTACATTGTTTTAGCAAAGGTAAAATGGACTTATTCCCATGAACTACAGACATTTTTAGTACAGCCAGAACACCTCTTTTCTGAAGCACAGGTATTTTGCACCATCTTCTTAGAGCACACAGTGTCAAGCTTTCACCATCTTTAATTTTGCAATTAAAAGTTCCAGTATTTTCTCTAGACCATCCTTTTTTTATTATTATTGCTTTCTAAGATACAAAACCCACCCATACAGAGGGGAAATATTGATGCTATTGCTTTTACTGAGAATTTCTGAGCACAGATCTACTAAAATTTAATTCCTTTTCCAGAAAGTATTCAGCTAATGTGTTCTCAGTTTAAACCAGGCTTCAGTAATGTGGGAGCACAGTTTTCAAACACAGATCTAATACTGAAGACATGGTTTCTTCAGTGTCTACTTTTGCACTAGGCACTTCAGATAGCATTGAATAGCTAGCTGAATACACAGCTTGGAACATGTGCATTTAAAAAAGGTAACAGGCATTAGTCTAGCTACACATGTATTTCTCCTGACAATTCCAGCAGGGAGTTGAATTTAACAGGCACTGAATCTCAGAGAATATTTATATATTATTATGTCTAAAATTCCAATTAAAACCAGACGTATTAGAGGTGTAGCAACAGTTATTTAAGAGACTGAGAGCTATAGCTCTGGGAATAAGTAAGAAAGAAACATTTTCTCAACTGAATAAGCAAACATTATTATTACTAACAGATGTCATTGTCGATTTACAATGACCTGATCCTTATGAATGGGAAAACTGAAGAGTCTGGAATCTGTAATGAGCTCTGGACAAACAAGCTCATTGTTATCTCCAGCCCTAATGAGAAAAGGCCACCTCCCCCAAAGAGCAACTCCATTTAGCTGTTTGCTATAAATGAGAAACTCTTGAAACCTCAAAACTGCCCCTGCCTCGAGTGTTTAATCTTTTCTTCTCTCCCTGACCTAAAGCTCTTGAAAGGTAACAGTAAACCCGTGAGCAGTGTTGAATGGTGGCAATGGTGGGAGACAACAGAAAATCTGTGCAGAAAGTGCACGTCATACACTTGAAGGAACACATACAGATGTTCCACACTGCTCAGCACTGACCCTCCAGGGAGAACTCCCCCACTGCACATTTCCCCCAGTGCCACTCAGGTCAGTGGGCACGTTCCTCTGGGATTCAACCTTAGCAAATCCTCAAGGACTGAGAGATCACAGGAGAGAGGACAGATCACAGCAACGAAAAGCATCCAGAGCAATACCTGGCTGTCGGACATTTGGTAGAGATCTTTGTAGGCCATGTAGACTTGAAAAGAGTTCACACCTGTTCCAAGACAAAATTTGAAGGTGTTGCCATGTAAGTGGATTCTCAGATTGTACTTGAACAAAAACTTCAGGAAAAATAAGGCACACAATATGTATGGACCAGGCTTTTCACCAATGACTGCCAGAAATAAAGCACGGCTCCACAGCTGCATTACAGCTGCTAGGACTAGAAGCCTGAATCCCCTCTTCCCTGGGGGAATTTGTTGGATTGCCTGTGTCCAGCCCTGGTGCAGCCCAGCCACCATCACAAATGAGATTTCTTGTAGCCACATATCAGAGACAAGCAATGGTGGCTAAAGCAAGCATCTGAAGTTCAACAAAACTTGCATAAGGTTCTGTGAATCACTGGGTTTCTTTTTAGCTTTCTCCAGCTAACCAGGCAAACGTTTCAGCTTGACCTGAAACTACGCTTCTTCACAGATAAAACTTCTAGTTAAGTTTCCCCAAAGTGCTGAGCAACTGTAGGAACTGTGTATCTGAATTTGCATACAGACTTGCTTTTTATGGACCCTACTGCCCAAAGCACCCAGCTTAGCTGATGGCAGACACTGGAAAGGAGTGGAAGCAAAGCCTGAAGCCACTTACAGGGGCAGCTCACCATACCTCTCCTTTCACCTTCTAAAGATGGAAGGATTTACGTTGGCAGTCATACAACACCATGAAAGATGACAGCTCCAAGTTACAGAAATCAGTAAGAAATGCCAGTGTTGAGTGTTGTTTGCCAAGAACCAACTGTATTTAAACCCCTACAAGCTTTGCTATTTATTTCAAAGATTTGATTATTTACACAGCTTCTTATTCTAAGAATGGGAATTCCAAACATCTCCTGTTCATATATTTTGTACGTATGAATTCAGATTAGTTTATAAATTTGCCTCACTCTTCAGTATAGTGACAACATCCCCAGTTTGGTACAGGGACTGATCTCAGAGGTTTCTAGCTTAAATGAAAAGTAAATTCTGAGCTGTCTAAGCTGCGTATGCTGCATTTCAAAATAGCTGTCATGAAAACTGTGCTTCCTGAGGCAAGAGGAAAAAGAAAGAGATCTGTTCATGTTATTTATGTTCTCTACACAAAATGAATAAGGCTCTCTGATGAAGATATAACTCCTCCATGAGTCTAGAATGACCAAATACATCCTCAGGCAGAGGGTATGGCTGTTCACACGCACACAGAGAATACGTTTATTCACAATTACAAGACTAAAATGCCTCAGGATACATGCAGGATACCTTGAAATGATCCCTGGTATTAGTCTTCCTGCAAAGTCCAGACAGCTCAGGGGGAAACACGAAACAGGAGCTGGCCCCTCCTTGCTGACTTCCATGCTGAGCAAATCCAGCCTGGACCATGGAGCTCTGTCAGCCTGTAAGCCCATCCTTTCTTCCTATTTTCGTATTTCTCAAGTTCCCAGAAAACACTCATGGCCTTTACTAACTGTAATCCCTCAGTCTACTCCTCATTACACAGTTTCAAAGTACTCAGCATGTCCCTGCTTTAAAACCCCTAAGCTTGACTACATCTTCCCTGCAGCCAGCACTTACAGCCTCATGCCTGCAGCCCTGCTTCCCCTGTGACTGATCACAGCAGCATTCAGCACATCTGCCCAACCTGCCTTGGAGGAAAGCTCCGTTTTCTCAGTGTCTCAGATGCCAGCAGCATCTGGGAGCCACCCTTCTGCATGGGTGACCATGCACACATGAAGCAATGAGAGATGTGTCAAGGCTGTTCCAAACCATGCCGACTAGCCCCAGTGATGGCACAGGACTGAATCCTCTCATACATATTTCTCTGTAAGAACAGAGCTGGGTTACCTATTGCTCTCCCTTATCCACTGGGATCTAGCCAAAGGAAATTCATTTAATCACAGTCCTGCAGAAGATAAGGCAGGTTTCTCTGGATACTGCGGCTGGAAGGCATACATTGACCAAGTAATACATATTATCTTCCTTTTTCTTTTATTGCCTTTGTATCTTCTCAGGCCCTACTTTGACCTTGGTAAAATGACTGAGTTTTGCTCCCACTCATGTTTATGTTCTCCCTGAAGTCAATGAGAGTAGAAGGAACCCAGCAGG